CCAGATGTTCTTCCTGGGTTCTGATGGTGACCATCACTGGGACCAGATGTTCTTCCTGGGTTCTGATGGTGACCATCACTGGGACCAGATGTTCTTCCTGGGTTCTGATGGTGACCATCACTGGGACCAGATGTTCTTCCTGGGTTCTGATGGTGACCATCACTGGGACCAGATGTTCTTCCTGGGTTCTGATGGTGACCATCACTGGGACCAGATGTTCTTCCTGGGTTCTGATGGTGACCGTCACTGGGACCAGATGTTCTTCCTGGGTTCTGATGGTGACCATCACTGGGACCAGATGTTCTTCCTGGGTTCTGATGGTGACCATCACTGGGACCAGATGTTCTTCCTGGGTTCTGATGGTGACCATCACTGGGACCAGATGTTCTTCCTGGGTTTCGTCCGGGTCTTATGGGCCACTTGGACCTCAAACTGGGTTGGATCAGAACCGGTTTTTGGATAGTCGACCAAAAGGTTCCCTCAGAGTTTTAATGTTGATTCTTTCATGTGTTTCCATGGAAACGGTGCAGGTCGCCAGGTCCATGTTGGTCAGAACTACACAGAACCAGTTGCTCCTGATTGGACGTTCATGTCTCTGACTCTGCGTGCTTTTGTCCATCAGCCAATCAGGGAACATCATCAGTGACATCACCGCGCAGCTTTCTTCTGAGTGGCTGGAGGATGAGGATGATGATGATGATGATGAAGATGATGAAGATGAGGACTGGGACTGGACCTCTCCTGCAGATTGGACCAAAAGAGTGAACCGGAACGGCAGCGGCTGCCAGGTGGTTACTGTGGATACGTCTGGCTCTAGCGCCATGGTTTCCAATCTGATGGTTTGTTCTCCTCCTCAGGCCAACCGACAGAACCAGGCGATGATGTCATCCACGCCGGCAGATAAGGTTCTGAGGAAATATGAGCAGAAGATCAACCTAGGTACCATCCTGGTTCTAAACCTGCATGGGATGTAGGTCCAGTTTACAGAGTCGGTTCTGATCAGGAGACTAACCTCTGCAGCACAGCTGCCCTGGATGGTTCTGGGTGGGTCTGGCCAGTTCTGGGTGGGTCTGGGCAGTTCTGGATGGGTTTGGGTAGTTCCAGATGGGTCTGGATGGTTCTAGGTGGTTCTGGGTGGGTCTGGATGGTCCTGAATGCGTCTTGGTGGGTTTGGGTGGTTCTGGGTTGGTCTGGATGCTTCTGGATGGGTCTGGATGGTTCTGGGTTGGTCTGGATGGGTCTGGGTCTGTATGGATGGTTCTGGAAGCGTCTGGGTGAGTCTGGATGCGTATGGATGGTTCTGGAAGCGTCTGGATGGTTCTGGGTGGTTCTGGGTGGGTCTGGATGGTTCTGGGTGGGTCTGGATGGGTCTAGATGGGTTTGGGTGGGTCTGGATGGTCCTGAATGCGTCTTGGTGGGTTTGGGTGGTTCTGGATAGTTCTGGGTTGGTCTGGATGCTTCTGGATGGTTCTGGGTGGGTCTGGATGGTTCTCTAGAACCAGATGTAAACCATCAGAACCTCTAGTGAGGACCTTCTGTCCTCCTTAAAAGGGACCTGTATTCTATACCTGTTGTATCTCTCAGTAGCTTAAAGAGCGTTGCCCCACTCCCTCAGGTTGTGGCTCCACCCCCTCTCATTGTGGCCCCGCCCACACTAACCTTGGCGTTGTATCTCTGCAGACAGGCTGAGCTATGCTGACAGTGTGACCAACAAGGTGACGGCCATGCAGAGGCAGAGGGAGGCTGGAAAGTATGTCCCCGCCCACACGCTGCTGCTCATCTGTCCGGCCATGTGACGCCTTACTAACACTCTGATTGGCTGCTCTCCTCAGGTACAGGGTGAAGGACAAATCAGACCGAGCCACAGTGGAACAGGTGAGCATCAGAACCCTGCTGACAGGAAAATAGGAGGGGAGGAAGTGAAGGTAGGGACAGGAAGTGACGGGTGACAGGAAGGTCGTGAGTACAGACTCCTGTCCTTGCCAAGTCTGTTCTTGACTCAAACCCAGGAAAGTCTGGACTCAGGGAGAACTGGAGCACGCAGAATAAATCTGGGTCAAATGGAACAGAAGCGTACTGATGACATCACCACATTCAAAGCTAGTCTGGAGCTTCATTTCACCTCCTGTTATTAATAGTCTCTGGATAATGATAAATTATGACTTTTTCATTTAGGGTTAGGCCTAACGTTAGCCATGGCTGCCGCAGACGGGCTAACGTTAGCCATGGCTGCCGCAGACGGGCTAACGTTAGCCATGGCTGTCGCAGACGGGCTAACGTTAGCCATGGCTGCCGCAGACGGGCTAACGTTAGCCATGGCTGCCGCAGACGGGCTGACGTTAGCCCTGGCTGCGGCAGACGGGCTAACGTTAGATATGGTTACTGCGGACGGGCTGACGTTAGACATGGTTACCGCAGACGGGTTAACGTTAGCCATGGTTACCGCAGACGGGCTGACGTTAGACATGGTTACCGCAGACGGGCTAACGTTAGCCATGGTAACAGCGGACGGGCTGACGTTAGCGCTGGCTGCCGCAGACGGCCTAACGTTAGACATGGTTACCGCAGACGGGCTGACGTTAGACATGGCTACCGCAGACGGGCTCACGTTAGGCCTGGCTGCCGCAGACGGGCTGACGTTAGCCCTGGCTGCCGCAGACGGGCTGACGTTAGCCCTGGCTGCCGCAGACGGGCTGACGTTAGCCCTGGCTGCCGCAGACGGGCTGACGTTAGCCCTGGCTGCCGCAGACGGGCTGACGTTAGCCCTGGCTGCCGCAGACGGGCTGACGTTAGCCCTGGCTGCCGCAGACGGGCTGACGTTAGCCCTGGCTGCCGCAGACGGGCTGACGTTAGCCCTGGCTGCCGCAGACGGGCTAACGTTAGACATGGTTTCCGCAGACCGGGTAACATTAGCCATGGCTGCCGCAGACGGGCTAACCTTAGACATGGTTGCCGCAGACAGGCTAACGTTACACATGGTTGCCGCAGACAGGCTAACGTTAGCCATGGTTACCGCAGACGTGCTGACGTTAGCCCTGGTTGCCGCAGACGGGCTGACGTTAGCCCTGGTTGCCGCAGACGGGCTAACGTTAGACATGGTTACTGCGGACGGGCTGACGTTAGCCATGGCTGCTGCAGACGGGCTAACGTTAGACATGGTTACAGCGGACGGGCTGACGTTAGCGCTGGCTGCCGCAGACGGCCTAACGTTAGACATGGTTACCGCAGACGGGCTGACGTTAGACATGGCTACCGCAGACGGGCTGACGTTAGGCCTGGCTGCCGCAGACGGGCTGACGTTAGCCCTGGCTGCCGCAGACGGGCTGACGTTAGCCCTGGCTGCCGCAGACGGGCTGACGTTAGCCCTGGCTGCCGCAGACGGGCTGACGTTAGCCCTGGCTGCCGCAGACGGGCTAACGTTAGCCATGGCTGCCGCAGACGGGCTGACGTTAGCCATGGCTGCTGCAGACGGGCTAACGTTAGACATGGTTACAGCGGACGGGCTGACGTTAGCGCTGGCTGCCGTAGACGGCCTAACGTTAGACATGGTTACCGCAGACGGGCTGACGTTAGACATGGCTACCGCAGACGGGCTGACGTTAGGCCTGGCTGCCGCAGACGGGCTGACGTTAGCCATGGCTGCTGCAGACGGGCTAACGTTAGACATGGTTACAGCGGACGGGCTGACGTTAGCGCTGGCTGCCGCAGACGGCCTAACGTTAGACATGGTTACCGCAGACGGGCTGACGTTAGACATGGCTACCGCAGACGGGCTGACGTTAGCCCTGGCTGCCGCAGACGGGCTGACGTTAGCCCTGGCTGCCGCAGACGGGCTGACGTTAGCCCTGGCTGCCGCAGACGGGCTGACGTTAGCCCTGGCTGCCGCAGACGGGCTGACGTTAGCCCTGGCTGCCGCGGACAGTCTAAGTGAGCAGTCCATCAAGTTGTGCTGTCCCCCTGCAGGTCCTGGATCCACGGACCCGGATGATTCTGTTCAAGATGCTGAGTCGAGGAATCATCAGTGAGATCAATGGCTGCATCAGCACAGGGAAGGAGGTCTGTCTGCTCTGGGCTCTGTTGGACCTGCAGTTAGAAACCCTGGGTTCTGTTGGTTCTGTTGGACCGGCTGGTTAGAAACCCTGGGTTCTGTTGGTTCTGTTGGACCGACTGGTTAGAAACTCTGGGTTCTGTTGGTTCTGTTGGACCGGCTGGTTAGAAACCCTGGGTTCTGTTGGTTCTGTTGGACCGACTGGTTAGAAACTCTGGGTTCTGTCGGACCGGCTGGTTAGAAACTCTGGGTTCTGTTGGACCGGCTGGTTAGAAGCCCTGGGTTCTGTTGGTTCTGTTGGACCGGCTGGTTAGAAACCCTGGGTTCTGTTGGTTCTGTTGGACCGGCTGGTTAGAAACCCTGGGTTCTGTTGGTTCTGTCGGACCGGCTGGTTAGAAACCCTGGGTTCTGTTGGTTCTGTTGGACCAGCTTGTTAGAAACTCTGGGTTCTGTTGGTTCTGTTGGACCGGCTGGTTAGAAACTCTGGGTTCTGTTGGTTCTGTTGGACCGGCTGGTTAGAAACCCTGGGTTCTGTTGGTTCTGTTGGACCGACTGGTTAGAAACTCTGGGTTCTGTCGGACCGGCTGGTTAGAAACTCTGGGTTCTGTTGGACCGGCTGGTTAGAAGCCCTGGGTTCTGTTGGTTCTGTTGGACCGGCTGGTTAGAAACCCTGGGTTCTGTTGGTTCTGTTGGACCGGCCGGTTAGAAACCCTGGGTTCTGTTGGTTCTGTTGGACCGGCTGGCTAGAAACCCTGGGTTCTGTTGGTTCTGTTGGACCGGCTGGTTAGAAACCCTGGGTTCTGTTGGTTCTGTTGGACCGGCTGGTTAGAAACCCTGGGTTCTGTTGGTTCTGTTGGACCGGCTGGTTAGAAACCCTGGGTTCTGTTGGACCGGCTAGTTAGAAGCCCTGGGTTCTGTTGGTTCTGTTGGACCGGCTTGTTAGAAACCCTGGGTTCTGTTGGACCGGCTGGTTAGAAGCCCTGGGTTCTGTTGGTTCTGTTGGACCGGCTGGTTAGAAACCCTGGGTTCTGTTGGTTCTGTTGAACCGGCTGGTTAGAAACTCTGGGTTCTGTTGGTTCTGTTGGACCGACTCGTTAGAAACCCTGGGTTCTGTTGGTTCTGTTGAACCGGCTGGTTTGAAACTCTGGGTTCTGTTGGACCGACTCGTTAGAAACCCTGGGTTCTGTTGGTTCTGTTGAACCGGCTGGTTAGAAACTCTGGGTTCTGTTGGTTCTGTTGAACCGGCTGGTTAGAAACTCTGGGTTCTGTTGGTTCTGTTGGACCGGCTGGTTAGAAACCCTGGGTTCTGTTGGTTCTGTTGAACCGGCTGGTTAGAAACCCTGGGTTCTGTTGGTTCTGTTGGACCGACTCGTTAGAAACTCTGGGTTCTGTTGGTTCTGTTGGACCGGCTGGTTAGAAACCCTGGGTTCTGTTGGTTCTGTTGGACTGACTGGTTAGAAACCCTGGGTTCTGTTGGTTCTGTTGGACCGGCTGGTTAGAAACCCTGGGTTTGTTGGTTCTGTTGGACCGACTCGTTAGAAACCCTGGGTTCTGTTGGTTCTGTTGGACCGGCTGGTTAGAAACCCTGGGTTCTGTTGGTTCTGTTGAACCGGCTGGTTAGAAACCCTGGGTTCTGTTGGTTCTGTTGGACTGACTGGTTAGAAACTCTGGGTTCTGTTGGTTCTGTTGGACCGGCTGGTTAGAAGCCCTGGGTTCTGTTGGTTCTGTTGGACCGGCTGGTTAGAAACTCTGGGTTCTGTTGGTTCTGTCGGACCGGCTGGTTAGAAACCCTGGGTTCTGTTGGACCGGCTGGTTAGAAGCCCTGGGTTCTGTTGGTTCTGTTGAACCGGCTGGTTAGAAACTCTGGGTTCTGTTGGTTCTGTTGGACCGACTCGTTAGAAGCCCTGGGTTCTGTTGGTTCTGTTGGACCGGCTGGTTAGAAACCCTGGGTTCTGTTGGTTCTGTTGGACCGGCCGGTTAGAAACCCTGGGTTCTGTTGGTTCTGTTGGACCGGCTGGCTAGAAACCCTGGGTTCTGTTGGTTCTGTTGGACCGGCTGGTTAGAAACCCTGGGTTCTGTTGGTTCTGTTGGACCGGCTGGTTAGAAACCCTGGGTTCTGTTGGACCGGCTGGTTAGAAGCCCTGGGTTCTGTTGGTTCTGTTGGACCGGCTGGTTAGAAACCCTGGGTTCTGTTGGTTCTGTCGGACCGACTGGTTAGAAACCCTGGGTTCTGTTGGACCGACTCGTTAGAAACCCTGGGTTCTGTTGGTTCTGTTGGACCGACTCGTTAGAAACCCTGGGTTCTGTTGGTTCTGTTGAACCGGCTGGTTAGAAACTCTGGGTTCTGTTGGTTCTGTTGGACCGACTCGTTAGAAACCCTGGGTTCTGTTGGTTCTGTTGGACCGGCTGGTTAGAAACTCTGGGTTCTGTTGGTTCTGTTGGACCGACTCGTTAGAAACCCTGGGTTCTGTTGGTTCTGTTGGACCGGCTGGTTAGAAACTCTGGGTTCTGTTGGTTCTGTTGAACCGGCTGGTTAGAAACCCTGGGTTCTGTTGGTTCTGTTGGACCGGCTGGTTAGAAACTCTGGGTTCTGTTGGACCGGCTGGTTAGAAACTCTGGGTTCTGTTGGACCGGCTGGTTAGAAACCCTGGGTTCTGTTGGACCGGCTGGTTAGAAACTCTGGGTTCTGTTGGACCGGCTGGTTAGAAACCCTGGGTTCTGTTGGACCGGCTGGTTAGAAACCCTGGGTTCTGTTGGTTCTGTCGGACCGGCTGGTTAGAAACTCTGGGTTCTGTTGGACCGGCTGGTTAGAAGCCCTGGGTTCTGTTGGTTCTGTCGGACCGGCTGGTTAGAAACTCTGGGTTCTGTTGGTTCTGTCGGACCGGCTGGTTAGAAACTCTGGGTTCTGTTGGTTCTGTTGGACCGGCTGGTTAGAAGCCCTGGGTTCTGTTGGTTCTGTCGGACCGGCTGGTTAGAAACCCTGGGTTCTGTTGGTTCTGTCGGACCGGCTGGTTAGAAACCCTGGGTTCTGTTGGTTCTGTCGGACCGGCTGGTTAGAAACTCTGGGTTCTGTTGGTTCTGTTGGACCGGCTGGTTAGAAGCCCTGGGTTCTGTTGGTTCTGTTGGACCGGCTGGTTAGAAACTCTGGGTTCTGTTGGTTCTGTTGGACCGGCTGGTTAGAAGCCCTGGGTTCTGTTGGTTCTGTCGGACCGGCTGGTTAGAAACTCTGGGTTCTGTTGGTTCTGTTGGACCGGCTGGTTAGAAACTCTGGGTTCTGTTGGTTCTGTTGGACCGGCTGGTTAGAAGCCCTGGGTTCTGTTGGTTCTGTCGGACCGGCTGGTTAGAAACCCTGGGTTCTGTTGGTTCTGTCGGACCGGCTGGTTAGAAACCCTGGGTTCTGTTGGTTCTGTTGGACCGGCTGGTTAGAAACTCTGGGTTCTGTTGGACCGGCTGGTTAGAAACCCTGGGTTCTGTTGGTTCTGTTGGACTGACTGGTTAGAAACTCTGGGTTCTGTTGGTTCTGTTGGACCGGCTGGTTAGAAGCCCTGGGTTCTGTTGGTTCTGTCGGACCGGCTGGTTAGAAACTCTGGGTTCTGTCGGACCGGCTGCCTAGAAACCCTGGGTTCTGTTGGTTCTGTTGGACCGGCTGGTTAGAAGCCCTGGGTTCTGTTGGTTCTGTCGGACCGGCTGGTTAGAAACCCTGGGTTCTGTCGGACCGACTAGTTAGAAACCCTGGGTTCTGTTGGTTCTGTCGGACCGGCTGGTTCTGCTCACTAGAAGAAGCAGAACTGAGGTGCGTTCAGGTGCAGCTGGTAACAAGCAGCTCCTCGTTCTCCAGGCCAACGTTTATCACGCCAGCACGGCGGCAGGAGACAGCAGAGCTATCAAGATCTACAAGACGTCCATCCTGCTCTTCAAGGACCGGGACAAGTATGTGAGCGGAGAGTTCAGGTGGGTCCGAGTCCTGTCCCGAGTTCCTAGTCCACGTGTCTGGATGCAGAGCTAAGCAGAGCGCTGTGCTGTCCTGCAGGTTCCGCCATGGTTACTGCAAAGGAAACCCCAGGAAGATGGTGAGGACCTGGGCGGAGAAGGAGATGAGGAACCTGATCAGGTAAGAACCCTCAACAGCACAACGCATTCAGGTCCTCCACCTGTCAGAGGTCTAATCCGTGAAGAGTTCAGGTCCTCCACCTGTCAGAGGTTTAATCCATGAAGAGTTCAGGTCCTCCACCTGTCAGAGGTCTAATCCATGAAGAGTTCAGGTCCTCCACCTGTCAGAGGTTTAATCCATGAAGAGTTCAGGTCCTCCACCTGTCAGAGGTTTAATCCATGAAGAGTTCAGGTCCTCCACCTGTCAGAGGTCTAATCCATGAAGAGTTCAGGTCCTCCACCTGTCAGAGGTCTAATCCATGAAGAGTTCAGGTCCTCCACCTGTCAGAGGTCTAATCCATGAAGAGTTCAGGTCCTCCACCTGTCAGAGGTCCAATCCATGAAGAGTTCAGGTCCTCCACCTGTCAGAGGTCTAATCCATGAAGAGTTCAGGTCCTCCACCTGTCAGAGGTTTAATCCATGAAGAGTTCAGGTCCTCCACCTGTCAGAGGTTTAATCCATGAAGAGTTCAGGTCCTCCACCTGTCAGAGGTCTAATCCATGAAGAGTTCAGGTCCTCCACCTGTCAGAGGTCTAATCCATGAAGAGTTCAGGTCCTCCACCTGTCAGAGGTCTAATCCATGAAGAGTTCAGGTCCTCCACCTGTCAGAGGTCTAATCCATGAAGAGTTCAGGTCCTCCACCTGTCAGAGGTCTAATCCATGAAGAGTTCAGGTCCTCCACCTGTCAGAGGTCTAATCCATGAAGGGTTCAGGTCCTCCACCTGTCAGAGGTCTAATCCATGAAGAGTTCAGGTCCTCCACCTGTCAGAGGTCTAATCCATGAAGAGTTCAGGTCCTCCACCTGTCAGAGGTCTAATCCATGAAGAGTTCAGGTCCTCCACCTGTCAGAGGTCTAATCCATGAAGAGTTCAGGTCCTCCACCTGTCAGAGGTCTAATCCATGAAGAGTTCAGGTCCTCCACCTGTCAGAGGTCCAATCCATGAAGAGTTCAGGTCCTCCACCTGTCAGAGGTCTAATCCATGAAGAGTTCAGGTCCTCCACCTGTCAGAGGTCCAATCCATGAAGAGTTCAGGTCCTCCACCTGTCAGAGGTCCAATCCATGAAGAGTTCAGGTCCTCCACCTGTCAGAGGTCTAATCCATGAAGAGTTCAGGTCCTCCACCTGTCAGAGGTCTAATCCATGAAGAGTTCAGGTCCTCCACCTGTCAGAGGTCTAATCCATGAAGAGTTCAGGTCCTCCACCTGTCAGAGGTCTAATCCATGAAGAGTTCAGGTCCTCCACCTGTCAGAGGTCTAATCCATGAAGAGTTCAGGTCCTCCACCTGTCAGAGGTCTAATCCATGAAGAGTTCAGGTCCTCCACCTGTCAGAGGTCTAATCCATGAAGAGTTCAGGTCCTCCACCTGTCAGAGGTCTAATCCATGAAGAGTTCAGGTCCTCCACCTGTCAGAGGTCTAATCCATGAAGAGTTCAGGTCCTCCACCTGTCAGAGGTCTAATCCATGAAGAGTTCAGGTCCTCCACCTGTCAGAGGTCTAATCCATGAAGAGTTCAGGTCCTCCACCTGTCAGAGGTCTACAACCCCTGGCAAAAAGTATGGAATCACCAGTCTTGGATGAGCACTCATTCAGACATTTCATGCTGTAAAACAAACTCAGATCAAAAACATGATACAATATTAAGGTCGTTCCAAAGTGCAACTTGTTGGCCTTCAGGAACACTCAAAGAAATGAAGAGAAAACATTGTGGAAGTCAGTGAATGATACTTTTATTGACCAAACACAGGGAAATAAATATGGAATCACTCAATTCTGAGGAAAAAAGTGTGGAATCACTCAATTCTGAGGAAAAAAGTGTGGAATCACTCAAATTGGAGGTAGAAAAAAAAGGACACACCCAGTCTATTTCCTTTCCCTAAATGGACACCTGCCCCAGATTAGATGTGCCCGTTAGTGTGCAGTTCAAAACACCTGCAGTCATGACACCTTGGAGGGCTGCTGGACCAAGTGGAGTGGTGAGAACCATGGCTCCAACAAGAGAAATGTCCCTTGAAACAAAAGAGAGGATTGTGAAACTTCTTGAAGAAGGTAACCCTTCACGCATGGTTGCTAAAGATGTGGGCTGTTCACAGTCAGCTGTATCCAAGATATGGACCAAATACAAACAGCATGGAATGGTTGTTAAAGCCAAGCGTACTGGTAGACCAAGAAAGACATCAAAGCGTCAAGACAAACAACTTAAGGCCATTTGTCTTGAAAACCGAAAAAGTACAACTAAACAGATGAAGCATAAATGGGAGGAAGTTGGAGTCAATGTATGTGACCGAACCGTAAGAAATCGCTTAAAGGAGATGGGATTTCAATACAGGAAAGCTAAACGAAAACCAGCATTGACACCTAAACATAAAAGAACGAGACTCCAATGGGCTAAGGAGAGGCAATCATGGACTGTGGATGACTGGATGAAAGTTGTCTTCAGTGATGAGTCAAGAATCTGCATTGGACAAGGTGATGATGCTGGAACTTTTGTTTGGTGCCGTTCCAGTGAGATTTATGAAGAGGCCTGCCTGAAGAAAACAACCAAATTTCCACAGTCCTTGATGATATGGGGCTGCATGTCAGGCAAAGGCACTGGGGAGACGACTGTGGTTAATTCTTCTATCAATGCACAAGTTTACATTGACATTTTGGACAGTTTTCTCATCCCTTCAATTGAACAGATGTTTGGTGATGATGAAATAATTTTCCAAGATGACAATGCATCGTGCCATCGGGCAAAAACAGTGAAGGCATTCCTTGAAGAAAGACACATTCAGTCGATGTCATGGCCTGCAAATAGTCCAGATCTCAACCCAATTGAAAACCTGTGGTGGAGATTGAAAAAAATGGTCCACAAGAAGGGTCCAACCAGCAAAGCTGATCTGGCAACTGCTATCAAAGAGAGTTGGCACCAAATTGATGAAGAATACTGTTTGTCACTCATCAAGTCCATGCCTCAAAGACTGAAAGCTGTTATAAAAGCCAAAGGTGGTGCAACTAAATACTAGTGATGTATTTTGAATGGTCTTTTGTTTATGCGTTTTTCATGATTCCATACTTTTTTCCTCAGAATTGAGTGATTCCACACTTTTTTCCTCAGAATTGAGTGATTCCATATTTATTTCCCTGTGTTTGGTCAATAAAAGTATCATTCACTGACTTCCACAATGTTTTCTCTTCATTTCTTTGAGTGTTCCTGAAGGCCAACAAGTTGCACTTTGGAACGACCTTAATATTGTATCATGTTTTTGATCTGAGTTTGTTTTACAGCATGAAATGTCTGAATGAGTGCTCATCCAAGACTGGTGATTCCATACTTTTTGCCAGGGGTTGTAATCCGTGAAGAGTTCAGGTCCTCCACCTGTCAGAGGTCTAATCCATGAAGGGTTCAGGTCCTCCACCTGTCAGAGGTTTAATCCGTGAAGAGTTCAGGTCCTCCACCTGTCAGAGGTTTAATCCGTGAAGAGTTCAGGTCCTCCACCTGTCAGAGGTCTAATCCATGAAGAGTTCAGGTCCTCCACCTGTCAGAGGTCTAATCCGTGAAGAGTTCAGGTCCTCCACCTGTCAGAGGTCTAATCCATGAAGAGTTCAGGTCCTCCACCTGTCAGAGGTCTAATCCCAGGGTTCTACAGTCATGGCCAAAAGTATCTAGAACGACACAAATGTTCTATTTCCAGCTGATCTGCTGCCCTCTGGTGTTCATGTCAGATGTTGCATCACATCCAGAAATATAATAGCATCATATTCTGAGTAACCAAAGCTTTTAATGACAGAATGAGTTCATGCAGCAGGTCAGTATTTGCAGTGCTGACTCCTCTTCTTCAGGACATTTCTCCCTGGCTGCTCTCCATCAGCTTCTGGACCAAATCCTGACTGATAGCGTCCATTCTGCTCCATCAATGCTTGCATTTGGTCAGAAGGTTTTCATTTGTCCGTCCGTCTCTTGATGATTGACCACAAGTTTTCAATGGGATGAAGATCAGGGGAGTTTCCAGGCCATGGACCCAACATCTCTCTGTTTTGTTCCCTGAGCCAGTTAGATATCAGCTTTGCTTCATGGCGAGGTGCTCCATCATGCTGGAAAAGGCATCGTTCATCACCAAACTGCTCTGGGACGGTTGGGAGAAGTTGCTCTGGGACGGTTGGGAGAAGTTGCTCTGGGACGGTTGGGAGAAGTTGCTCTGGGAGGACATTCTGGTTCCAGTCTTTATTCATGGCTGTTTTTAGGTCAGACTGGGAGAGAGCCGACTCCCTTGGCTGAGAAGCAACCCCACCATGAATGGTTTCAGGATGCTTTACAGTCGGCATGAGACCAGACTGGTGGTAGCGCTCACCTGGTCTTCTCCCAACCAGCTGTTTTCCAGATGTCCCAATCAATGGGAAAGGGGATTGCTGAGAGGAAATGACTTTCCCCCAGTCCTCAGCAGTCCCCTCCCTGGACCTTTAGCAGAATATCAGTCTGTCCCTGATGGTTTTCCTGGAGAGAAGTGGCTTCTTTGCTGCCCTCCTTCAGACCAGGCCTTGCTCCAAGAGTCTCCGCCTCACAGTGCAGATGCACTCACACCTGCCTGCTGCCATTCCTGAGCAAGCTCTGCACCGCTGGAAGCCCGATCCCGCAGCTGAAACACTTTCAGAGACGGTCCTGGCGCTCGCTGGTCTTTCTTGGCGCCCTGGAGCCTTTTTGGCAGCAATGGAACCTCTCTCCTTGAAGTTCTTGATGATGCCATAGATTGCTGACTGAGGAGCAATCTCTCTAGCAGCCATTCTCTTTCCTGGTCGGCCATCTTTGTGCAGTGCAATGATGACTGCAGGTGTTTCTTTAGAGATAACCATGGTTCACAGCAGAGAACCAATGATGGCGAGCAGCAGCCTCTGTTGCGTCATTCTGACTGAATCCTGACAGATTGATCTGCAGCCCTGTCCTCATCACCACCCACACCTGTTAATGGACCAATCACTGGAACCATGGTAGCTGCTCCTTTAAGGCAGGGCTGCAATCACCATGAAATGTGTTTAGGGATAAAGTTCATTTTCTAGGCAAATATTGACTTTGCAATTAATTGCTGTTACTCTGATCACTCTTTAGAACATTCTGGAGTTTATGCAGATTACTGTTATAAAAACTGAAGCAGTAGACTTTGGAAATATTAACATTGAATCATTCTCAGAACTTTAGGCAGGACTGTAGGTGAAGTCTGCCAGAGCGTTTGAACCCAGACTGTTGTGTGTTCCAGGCTGCAGACGGCAGGGATTCCGAGTCCAGAACCGGTGCTGCTCAGGAGTCACGTTCTGTTGATGGGCTTCATTGGAAAGGACAACATGTAAGAAGGGGAGGGTGAGGGGTGGCGGAACCGCAGCTGGCTGCAGGGTTCTGATGAAGGTTCTCGTGCTGTTTGGGTCAGGCCAGCTCCGCTGCTGAAGAACGCGGTGCTGTCAGAGTCCAAGGCCCGGGAACTGTATGTTCAGGTGGTCCAGAACATGAGGAAGATGTTCCAGGAGGCCCGACTGGTGCACGCCGACCTCAGCGAGTTCAACATGTTGTACGCAGAACTCTCCACTAGAAAGTTTCTACTGGGTTCTGGATGAGACTTCTCTGAGGTTCTGATCCGTCTGCAGGTACCACGGCGGGGACGCCTACTTCATAGACGTGTCGCAGTCGGTGGAACACGACCACCCTCATGCTCTGGAGTTCCTCAGGAAGGACTGCAGCAACGTAAACGGTGGGTCCGAGTCGGGCCGGGCCGGGCCGGGACCAATCGGTTCCGTGTGGTGATGTGGGTTTCTGTTTTCCTAGATTTCTTCGTGAAGCACGGAGTGGCGGTCATGACGGTCCGGGAGCTGTTTGACTTTGTCACCGACCCGTCCATTACCAGCAGGAACATGGAGCAGTACCTGGACAAGGTGAGCAGAACCCAGCAGAACCTTTTTCCAAACTTGGCTGCCGAGCGTAAACCCATTCTGTCTGACGGCCCGGTTAGGCCATGGTGATCGCAGCCGAGCGGACGGCGGAGCAGAGATCGGATCAGGACCGCGTGGACGAGGAGGTAATGTTCCAGCTGCCTATGCTCACCTCTGATTGGCTGCCTGACCTCACCCCATGGCTCTGCCCCCTCAGGTGTTCAAGAAGGCCTACATCCCTCGCACGCTGACCGAGGTGAGCCACTACGAGCGCGACGTGGACCTGATGAGGTCCAAGGAGGAGGAGTCAGCCATCAGCGGTCACCATGACAACGTAAGATCCTCCATAGACTCCTGAGGTCTCGGTTCATAAGTAGGTCCATGTGGCTGTTCCTCAGTGATTGAGCAGTTGGTCAGGATGGATTAGGGTTTATTTCTAGAGCGCCAATTCACATCACGCCATCTCAGGTCACTGTTTAGATCTAGATCAACCAGATCATCCAGGAAAACCAACTGATTGCATCCACTCCTTGACCCAATACCAAACCGGCCCCTAAGCACTAAGCCCCCATTAAGGGCCCAAACCCCGTAGTGGGTAGGGCCGTCCCCCCACCTTCAATCAAGGTGGGGGGTATGAAGATGAGAATGTGTGGAACTATGAACATTTTGAACAAAGCCAACAGCATTAAAGGCTGAACTTAGGCTATCACCTTCAGCATGGATGTTCAAATCCTTCACTGTCCTCCATTCACCTTCTGGGAATCAGTTTCAGTCACAGATCCAGGAATTAAAGGAACAGATCTAGACTGGTTTAAATCTGATCTATCTGATCGAATTCAGTTTGTTCATGTTAATGATAGATCTTCAACACGCTCAAAGGTTACCTGTGGAGTACCACAGGGATCAGTGCTAGGACCAATTCTCTTTACTTTATACATGCTCCCAATTGGTAGAGTTATTAGACAGCATGGGATTAATTTCCACTGTTATGCTGATGATACCCAGCTATATCTGTCTATAATCCAGATGAAGCTAACCCATTACATAGATTACAGGCATGTCTGAAGACAGAAAAACCTGGATGACTCTTAACTTTCTGCTTCTGAATGCAGACAAAACAGAAGTTATAGTCTTTGGACCAGAGTCTCTGAAAAAGAAGCTGATTAGCCAGTCACTTCATTTGGATGGGATTAAACTGATTTCAGATAATAAAGTAAAAAATCTTGGTGTTATTTTTGATCAGGACCTGTCATTTAAATCCCAGATCAAAGAGGTTTCTAGAATTTCCTTCTTTCATCTGAGGAATATTGCAAAAATGAGCAATCTCCTGTCCAGGGGTGATGCTGAGAAACTAGTCCATGCATTTGTTACTTCAAGGCTGGACTATTGTAATTCTTTACTATCAGGAAGTCCACAAACTGTAGTTAAAAGCCTTCAGCTGATCCAAAATGCTGCAGCCAGAGTTCTGATGAAAATGAAAAAGAGAGATCATATCTCTCCTATCCTGGCTTCTCTTCATTGGCTTCCTGTTAAATCCAGAATAGAATTTAAAATCCTCCTTCTCACATATAAAGCCTTAAATGGCCAAGCTCCATCTGATATCAGAGATCTGATTGTTCCTTATGTTCCTAACAGAGCACTTCGCTCTCAATCTGCAGGTTTACTAGTGGTTCCTAGAATTTCTAAAAGTAGAATGGGAGGCAGATCTTTTAGTTATCAGGCTCCTCTCCTGTGGAACCAACTACCAGTTTTAGTCCGTGAGGCAGACACCCTGTCTACTTTTAAGGCTAGGCTTAAAACTTTCCTTTTTGATAAAGCTTCTAGTTAGAGTGGCTCAGGTTATCCTGATCTATCTCTATAGTTCTGCTGCTATAGGCTTAGACTGCTGGAGGACATAGGGACCCCTTTTTCATCATTCTGCTTCATTCTATCTCTATTCTCCCACTCTGCAGAATCTGTTAGTTCAATCTCTAACGTTCTGCTCTCTCTGCTTTTTCTCATAGTAGCTTCATCTGGTCTGTTCCTGTTTGGCTGTGACTCCATCCTGGAGAGAAATATCAGCTGTGCTGCTGCCATCAACACCTTTGTTTCTAGATGTTGGAGCTTGGCCTGTTTTCCAGTGTAGTCCTGTTTCTCTGACTGTGACTAACTGGATGTGCTCTCTTCATCCTCTGACATGGGAGCTGGCTCGGAGCTCGTCTGCCTGGCTGTGTGTTTCCTGGACGGGGCCGCCTGTGGAGCTGGTTGACAGTTGCCTTTTGTATCTATGCTTCTTTTTCTATGTCTGCTTCTGTCTCCTTGAACCCCAGTGGGCCTCAGCAGATGGCCGCTCACACTGAGCCTGGTTCTGCTGGAGGTTTCTTCCTGTTCAAAGGGAGTTTTTCCTCTCCACTGTCGCTACAAGCATGCTTAGTGTGAGGGATTGCTGAAGAGTCAATGAGTCGATGCAATCAGCTGGTTTTCCTTAGATAGAAAACTTTGACCGGTTTATCTGGTTGTTCTAGATCTAGAAAGTGACCTGAGATGACATGATGTGAGTTGGCGCTATAGAAATAAACTGAATAGAATGGAAAGTTGTGAACAAAGATCAGAACCTTATAATGGACTGAAGGAGGTGATGGTTGTTCTCCTCAGGTTCTGTACCAGACGCTAACGGGTCTGAAGAAGGACCTCTCTGGAGTCCAGACGGTACGGTTCCTCTTTCCTTCTTCTGCCTTCGCTTTAACTCCTCCTCAGGTTCTGGTTCTGATGTCCTGTTAGGTTCCCGCACTGCTGGAGGAGGACTGCTCTTCATCAGAGGAGGAGGAGGATGACGAGGAGGAGGAGGATGAGGAGGAGGAAGATAAAGAGGGAGGCCAAATGGACAAGAAGGTGCCCAGTCAGCAGAACCAGAGCTGGAAGCAGGAACTCCTGAAGTTCTGGATAAATAGCTGAGCTCTGTGTTTCAGGAGAGGAAGAGGATGGTGAAGGAAGCTCAGAGGGAGAAGAGGAAGAGTAAAGTCCCCAAACACGTGAAGAAGAGGAAGGAGAGGGTGGCCAAGATGAAGAAGGGACGGTGACCTGATGAAGAACGCCGCCACAGCCTTCTGGTTCTGATCCAGAACAACTTCTGTTCTTAAAGTTCTGCTCAATAAACGGACCCAATCCCCCCCCAGTG